CCCCGGGGGCGGTGGGTAGAGGGGGTTCTTGTCGTCGTAGGGGGGAGGCGCGTTGGGCTGCGCCATGCCGGCTCCCTGCGTCTTCCCGGGCACCTGGAGGGGAGAGAAGATGGGGGGGGTATCAGCGCAGATCCCCTCCCCGGGCAGGACGTGTCCCCGGTGAGCAGAGCCACAGGTGCAGGGACACAGGGGACAGTGGAGCCACAAAACCTCCCACTCCCACTTTAATAGCGGCTTCTAATTAATAAGGATGAGCTGGCGTCAATAACAGCAAGTCAAGGAGAGGCGAGGGCACTGTCCCTCGGCTGGGGTTACCTGCATTCCTGTGCCCTGAGTCCCCAACGCCTGCGTCAGTGGCCAGCCACAGGCAGGGCACGGCCACGCACTGACTCAAACCACATTGGGGACGTGACCTCCCCGGGGGGGACGTGACCTCTCCAGCCTCTGGAGCCCACCCTGCCATCGCCGGGGGCCAGGGAGCCCTGGCTGGCCTCTGGCTCCTGGTGGCACCGTCCTGGGGACAAAGGGCATCAGCCTGCCCGCTGCCTGGGATGGAAACGCAGGGACTGATCCTGATCACACCCATGCACATCCATTTCAGGGGTGCCCCCCACCCAGCAGCCCAGCGGGTCACGCAGGGGCTCCAGAACTCGAGTCCCCCCACAGGGAGTTATAGGGACAAGTGCCACCTGAAGGAAGGTGTCTGTGTCCCCGGGGAGGGGAGCCAGTACCCCCCGGGGCTGAGCTCCCCTCCCCGGCCGCGCCGGGCCCCCTCGCAGAGTTCCCCGACAGCCGCGAGCAGCCAGCCCGGGCCCAGGGCCAGCTGCCAGACTTGGCCCCAGGAGGAGGAGGAGGAGGAGGAAGACAGGATCTCCAAGGCCAGGAAAACAACGGCGCTGCCAGGAGCCGGTGCCAGGCCTTTACCCGCCTGCCATCCCTCTGGTGCTGGCACCGGGGGACACCCACCCTGAGACCCAGGCAGGTGCCAGGACCCCCCAAGTCCCCCCTGCCCGCAGCGGTGACGTGACCCCGGGACCGTCCCTGGGAAGGGACGAGGACCTGGCCCTGAGCGGGACCGGGCTGGGAGGGGACCGGGCGCTCCCTCCAGCATGACGCCAGCATTTCCCGTGGCCGGGCCGGGTGGGCGGCGGTGCCGGGGAGGCACACCCGGGCTCAGCACCCATCCCTCCATCCCTCCCGCCGTCCGCCTGTCCCAGCCACGGCAGAGCTGCCACAGCCGCGCCGCCCTTCGCCATCACGATGACGGAAGTGCCAAAAATAACCAGCGTGGCGGTGACCACTCGGCCAGGAAGTTTCGCTTCCACTGCTCCACGGTTTCCCAAAAAGTACCCGGTGCCCCTGGGCACCACGTCATCTGTGGGGCCAGGGAAGGGCCCAAAACAGGAGCCTGACCCCAGGAATACCCCTGTAACTGGCACCCAGTTAGGGGGGACTGGAGTCCCCGGGAGGGAACCCAGGCATCTGGGGAAAGCGGGGTGTATCCAGCCGGCACACGGTCCATCGGGAGGTCCCACCCTGTGCCCATGGCCAGCACCCTGTGGAAGGGGTCCCCCGGCTCCCCCAGCCCCTCCTGTCCCCACCCCAGCCTTGGGGACGGGGAAGGAACCAGCCTGACGGGTCCCTGCGGCCGCCGCACCCAGGGAGGCAGGTGGAAACCTGCGCCGTCCCTGGGCCGTGGCACAGCGGGGCCCCGAAACCGGAGGTCACCGGCCACAGGGCCACCCGTGTCGGCTCGGTGGCCCAGCATGACACGTCGTCCCCGGGGACAGGGTGCTTCTCTGCACTGGCACCGTGACTCAGCACAGATAAGGCGCACGTGGTGGGGACCTGGGGCGCCAGCCGCCATCACCCCCAGCACAGCCCCATGGGTGGCACCAGGCAGTGTCCCCGCCGGCCGCCCCGGCGTTCCTGCCGGGCTCAGGCCCCTGCCAGAGCTCCACGGGGACCCTGGGGCACCAAGGGCCACCTTGGGGGGGACCAGGGTTTGGGGTGGGGGCCAGAGCTCGGGGTGGGGGCCAGAGCTCCCCGCTTTCCCCATGGCTGCCCAGGGTGAGGCTTCCTAGGAAAGCATCTGACTTCCCAGAAGAGCCTGAAAGCTCCCACCAGTATGGAACAGCTTGGTACAGCATGGCACAGCCTGGTACGGCACGGCACAGCTCAGTACGGCACGGCTCCTCCGTACGGCACAGCACGGCTCAGTACGGCACGGCTCCATATGACACAACCCAACACAGCACAACATAACTTGGCCTGGCTAAGCCCAGCCCAGCCCAGCCCAGCCCAGCTCAGCGGGGCGCACGCCGGGGGGGGATCAGCGCGGACCCCCAGGCCGGGTTCCCCCGCTGCCTGCCCCCACGCCGCTCACACAGGACACAAGTTTGCAAGACCTCAGCACCGCCACCGCCTCTCTGCGCCCCCCCCCCGCCCCCTCCTGGGGGACGGGGCGTGCGCCAGGGGCGCCCCCCTGAGCCCCGGC